AAAAAAAAAAAAAAAAAAATCTTTACTTGCAAGCTTTTGGGCAGAAACACCCTTCATCAGGCATAGGAGAAAAGATCGTGAAAGTTCCCATCAGTAGAAATGAAAGTTCATATTTCACAGGAGAGTTAAAGGTGTGCTAAAATCTCCTGTTTGGAACAGTTTATTTTATGCAAGTTAGACTCAGAGAAAAGTTGGAATAGTCTGCCTTCTGTTCTTTGGAGGCGGGAGCCATGATTTTTAAATGGTTTGTATACTGCTTCAATTAATGTCAGAAGAACTCTTATTCAAATATTTCCCAAGTTGTTCTCATGGGAAAAGTACAAACTTTTTAAATTACAAAAACGCTTGATGAATATGAACATCAGAATCACATATCTTTCTGGGTTTTTGGGTGATGAAAATAACCCTATGGGGGCTACTGAGGAAATTTTAGGGGAAATTGTCATTTTCATTAAGTTTCTCTGCTTTCATATTTGAAAGCAACTGCTGGGTTTTAGCAAGTGTCATGTAAGCAACCTAATAATTGTGCAACACTTAGTGTGCTATCTCTACAGAAGACTTTTTCATATCTGCTGATTTGTTCAATCAATTCAAGTCTAATCCACAGGATTAATTGTGTAAAATGAATATGACATGGATCTTATTGCAACTGATATGATTATCTTAATTGGGATTAACAATTAATCACTCTGATCTACAGTATAATACTGTGAAGAGAAAACTATGCAATCTGTAAGTGTAAACTGATCCAAGACTGAGTTTATAAACTGCCCCAAGTATTCTTCATTGGGTCACCATCATATCAGATTCTTGGAACAGTTTCAAAATTAAAGTTGCCAGATTTGTTTGTAATGTAGATTTACTAGAAAGTTTTCATTCATAATGATCAAAAACGTATTTATGCAAGCTTTGCAAATATTTCATGCTTAAAAAATGTGCCCTTAAATTATTTCAACTATATCTTTATTAAACCTAAATTAAAGGACAGACTTTCTTCTAGAAACATATGTCTATCTACCTCCCTTTCTCAAAATAATTGAATTCACACTACTCATCCAGTGCTTGAATACATTAAGTGAAGGACACTTGAGTGACCCATCCATTTTCTTATTCTATAATTTGCTTATTTAGAACAAAACAACATTTACTAACAGATCAGCCTGCTTCCAGCCCAAAGATTCTCTGGAAAAATTAGGTATTTTTTTTAGCCAGATGAATAAAAACATTTAAAATAAACATAAGACAAAGATAGAAACAACCCATCTCCTCAGAATAACACGTCAGAATATGGCCTCACCTCTGGCCCCAGACCACGTCCCTAACGAGGCGGTTAAGGATTCTGTTGGTACAGGGCAGCCGAGTCTCACTCACTCAGCAACTAGGAAATGGTTTAACACAGAGCTATACTGTAGCTTCCTAAATTACACCTAGAATCTATCCAGCCTACTTCTCACAGACACTGGCCAATACCAGGGGGCTTAACTTCATCTTTCTCTCACTGGAAGTCCTATACTGAGCTAAGCTCAAATGAACCCATGAACTAAAGCCAATATCATTAGAATCTTACTTTATATTTTTAATTAATCCAATTTTTATATTTTATCCTTATAACAGAAGATATGAAACTAAAATTACTTCTATGCTTCACTCTCTCTACTACCCATACTTCATATTCTAGGTCACTTTTCACTCCAAAATAGGAATGGTCACAACTGCCTAATGAACTAAAAAGCTGCCAAGATTTTACATGAACACTAGCAACCCTGCTCTCTTGTGCCAAAGGTATTTATACCGCAGACTATCTGAAAACTCTCCAGTGTGTTCCACACAGAAACAAATCTTTTCTTTTCTTAATCCACAACACACACACGGTTAGAAAGCACAATGTGCCGATACACTTTAAACCAGCAAGAATCAGTGGAACTTCATCCAAGACGCCAAGCAAGGTAAAACAGATTTACAAAATAACAACTGACATAGGACTTCGAGTCATGCCAAGGTATTTGAACCAATAATGCTTAGTTCATTATCGCAAAGAAAGAACAAAAAGGAAAGAAAGAAAAAACTGCCTAATCAGAAACCCTCATGAAATCATGATAAACAGTGTCACCCTCTTAACAAACCATCCTCACATTAGCCTGGAAGATTTAAGCTTCAAGCTTGCCCCCGGCTTCATTTTAAACATTGTGCTAGATTTCTCCCTGACAGTCATTTCATTCTTCAGTTCCCAGCTCCAGGTAAATTTAAGTTTCACCCTCATGTGCACAAGGCCCACTGTCCTCCTTAAACAATGTGATGGGCTATGAAGTGGAGCAGCTGTACAGAAAGACCTGTCCATCCATCAGAAGCTGCAAAAGGGTATCTCTATCAAGTCTCCATAAACTAGTGTGGAAACGGCCATGAGGAGCAGGTTCAGGGAGCTATTACAGGTTCTCTGACAGCACAACACAGACAAAAGGCACAGAGAGGCCACAGCCTGGAGGGCAAATCCTGAGCCCTAATTCAGAGACAAAATTCATCCCCAAAGGCCTGCCCACTCTCTCCATAGAAAACCTGATCACTCTGGCTGCATGCAGTGAAATGAATCCCGTTGGAGTGCAGAAACTGCTTATCTTAAACAAATTTTCTGTAGAAGCTCTGTGCCTCTTGGTGTAACAAAGAACTCCTGATGAGTTATTTCTTTGCACCAGTGTCAGCTATTGTTCTACAGAGAGCGCACTGAGTCAAAGTTGACCCGTTTTCACATAGGTCAATGATCATTCCAGTTTTACCGTTTCAACCATAACAGCAGCATCAGGTTTCTGTACACAGCAGTGCACAGCTTCTTAAAAGAATATGTTTTCTTAGCCCCAGGCACATATTGCCTTCAAATGTTCTCCCATTATAAACCAAAACCACCCCAAATCCCTCAAGGTTTTAAAGCCTCCATTTTTCTTGCTGTAAGCGTATCTCGAAGCTGGGAAGAATCAAGTCTCTTTCCTCTAAGTATAAACAGATCTCTGTTACTGGGTTCAGGTTGGCTTGTTATCTCCCTCATGTATGGCAAAGCACAGTAAACCTGATATGCACTTTAGAAGGGATAGGGAACTATACCTTCCTTCACAGTACTGGCTACTGGCAGGAAAAAAATGGGATTTGAGTGTCCAAAGATCTGATCCAGCAGATCAGTTATTAGCGTACCATGTACAAACAATCCTGAATATCAACCTATTAGTAATATTAATTACAGAGACGCACCAATACATCAGTTCCATATTGGACCGGCACCGATATAGGGAAAATCGAAAGCATCAGAAATCAGCTTTTTTTGGCTGATGCAGCTGACAATGTGACCAATAAACGCCCTTTGCACGCGCACAGCCACAGCATGCATGGGGCCAGCAGCACAGCCCAGCAGCTTAGAGACCAGCATCTGGCTGGTAAGTCTGTTGTGGGGGAAAGGGGGTGCAGATCGAGGCCCCCACAGTGAGGGAGAGAATGGGGCTGGGGCAGGTACTGTTCAGTTGGGGTGGGGTGAGGCTCAGGACAGAGCCACAAGTGGCTCAACTGGGGGCACAGAGGGAGGAAGTTCCCACCTCTGCACACACCCTCGGAGAACATGGGGGGCATGTGCCCCCAGATCTACACAC